TAAGGAGCAAAAGGAGACAGTCATGAACACAAAAACAGGGTAAAATCTTCTGCAGAATTAATCAGTACTAGGTACCATAACGGTAACTGGGCCTTCCTCTTCTTTTACTTGCTAGTGTGTATACAGAGCAGATACCTCCTTTATTTTTATTCCTGCAGTGTGGACATGTGGTGCAATCTCTCAGAGAGGGATCATTAATGTGGAACATATATACTTACACTTTTGGCCTTTTCCAAATACTTTTTGTATCGCTCTTCCATTTGCTTCATTTCCTCCTCCTTTTTCCGTAAAGCTTCTTGTAATTCTTCAATTTTGAGTGCTTTATGTCAGGAGATGCACACATTGAAAAATAACATAATTGCATTATGTTTATTTTCATGTTTGTCAACAGATATTTAAGGTACAGCTAGAATTTATTTCAGTTAACAAAAGCTAACATAAGGAACCTGATGTAGCAGATACCACAGTTTTCATTACTGAACAGCTCAAAAACACACTAAAAATGCGTACTAACTATATAATCTCATGAGATGGTTGTTTTGTACTCAAATCTTGCTTTTTTTAAACTTATGAAAAAATAAAGAGAAATTGAATCATAAATCAATCCCATTACTGAACACACTTAGAACATGACTTTACTAATGAATTAGAGATTCCATAATATCTCGGTATTTCAACTCAGAAAAATATGAGTTTTCCTGTTTTACGGAAGAGGAATAATTCTTAACTGGCACAACTCTTGCTTAAATCTTCTAAACTGTAACATTGGACACAATTTATCAGACTTATGACATGAATACACTCAATTTCCCCCCCCCCCATTTTCTTAAGCAGCACTGCAGACCAGTAGGATCATTTCATTGCATAGCCTTTGCCTCTGTTGATACAAGAACATGCCAAGCCACTATTTGCTTATACATCCTCCATACATCTTCCGTGATCTCAGAAAAAAAAAAAAAAAATAAAATTCAATTGCACCATCCTGGACCAATTGGCATATAACATTGACCTCTTGTTCTCAGACAATATTAAATAACTGGCAATCCTCAGTCCATCTGTTTTGCAGCCTCATTTTGAAATGTTCTTTCATGTTTTTCCTACAGTTTTCTCTCTAAGCACTCGGAAAACACTAAGCTGGTGACAGGACCAAGTAAGATTTTCATTGATCAGTAGGAGGACCAATAGCAGATGGTCTCCAAGATTGCAAGAGTTCATTTTTCAAAATGTGCCATGACTCTTGTACAATGCCCAAGCATTTTGGCCATATCCAGGACAGTTACAAGAATCTGAAAAAAAATAGTTCACGCACATTTCCTGAGTGTGGAAAGAAAGGAAGAAGGTACAACTATCTCTATGTTACCACGACAAAAGTTCAGACGTAGATTTTTGAAAAGTAACTTGTAATTTCAGTAAACTAACTACAGAAGCCTCAATATGCCCTAATGTTTAGAAGCTAGCAAGTCAGAAGACTGCTATTACACTCGCACTGAAGCTTATCAAATACGACAGGATTATGTGTTGTACTCATGAAGCCCCTGGACCTCATTTCCAAGTGTTGTAACATTTCCTACGATGTGGAACTTATAACATATTCTGCAATTTTAGCTTAACACAAATGAAAATTCTTTCTGGATGCAGAATATATGTAATGAATACTGAACTGATACTTCTGTCTTCCTCGATCTCTTTGCAAATAAAATTGCTTTGGCATAAACCAGAAAAGCTGCCATTGGTTGCAATCTTTTGCCTTGTTCTATAGTAAGTAGGCTTGAAAAAAAAAACCAATCTGCCTCCTTCAATACTTCTCAGGAAAAAAGTAGCATTAATGTGCTAAAAAACAACTTGATGACGGGGTCTGGATACCATCTGAGCAATATGACATATATACTACATTGTCTTTGACCAGTGTCCGACGATTTTCTCAAATTACAACACAGTTCTGAAAACACACTGAAGGAATATACATTGAGAGTAAAAATAACTTCATGATGGCAGCAAGGATCTCCTAAGTTAGGGTCTCAAGGAGACTTAACAGTTCTGAACAGCTGAGTTCCAATAAGAGGTATGACAGCGACTCGGTATTTCTATGGCCATTGTCATTTCTTACTATGGTGGTCTATAAAATGTGACCCCCTGCATATCAAGTGTTAGAAGCATCTTTTTGGTCACCATAGCTTGCAGAGAAATTAACAACTTACATACCACTGCCATTTAAAAATGTAAATTTTGTTTATCTTGCACATATTTTAGATGTCACAAGACCTTGCACGTGAAACACTCTACAAAGAAAAGAAATGGACTGCACAGGTAACTCACAACTATTATTGCATCTTGGTTCCAAATCTTCAATAATAGCTCGTTTCTTCTGTAACTCATTGTTAGCTTCATGGAGCTTCTCACTGTTACAAACCATAAAAGCACATATTGTTTCCCCAATATTATTACTGTGCTTGAATGAACATTAGATGATACAAAAAATCCTCAGATAATAATATATTTCTGAGAGCACTATTTATTTTTGCTGTGGAGCATGAGGAAAAATGACAATGTCACTGTGGAAGTATTTGTTAAATAAGCTGAAAAACATTACGGTGCGTGGAGAACTGTAATAACAAACAGCTTCATTCTCAGTAATTATAAACTTATTTTAAAACTTACAGTTAACTGTACAATACATGCCTAAAATGAATACTCGTAATTGAGATTACATTGAGAAAGAATGGCTAAACCCAAAGGCAGCAGAAACTACTATTTTTTTTTGTAAGCCAGCCAAAAAGCAAACAGCTCCTTGCATTTTAGGGAAGTAAAAGAGGTGCAGAAATAGTAGAACAAAATGATAACACTTCCTATAATGTTAACTTTTATGCCATAATGCATACTAAAAAGTAAATAAATTAATTTTGTTTATATTAACATGCTTTCCTCAGAACAAAATTACTTACTCCTCTTGAGTAAGATTTACACAATGTTAAGCAAAGCTTTCTAACCACCACAAAATGATGGTTCCTTGATCACCCTTACAGCTTTCACAAAAGTTTTCTATGACATGAAAATAGTATCTGAACAGCAGATTCCAAAACATTCCTGTGTTATCTAATTTCTCTTAGTTATATATTTTCCAGATGCATGATCAATGACTGTCCGTCTTCCTTACCATATGGAAAACACATCATTTCAAATGGCAAACAAAATAGGCAAACAAAATACTTACAGATGTTCTTCAAGTTTCTTTTTCAGAAGAATTGACTAAAATAGAAAGTTAAATATTGTATTTTAATATCTTGCAGAGATTTAACATAATTTCAAAACTATTTTTAAACATGTAATTTTGACATTCTAACCAAAATCCAACTTTCTACTTTACTCAGTTTTAGATCACAACTGTAAAGTCATCCTCTGTGGTAGCAATCCTTCTCTCCACAGCTGTGTGACTTTCCTGAAATTAGAGCGCTTTATAACTTCAGAAATATTTTCCCAGGAACTAGATCAATAAAAGCAAGATCCATAAATGACAAAATTCTATGGCAGTTGTTTTAATTTCTTCAGTACTTCTGTAATTAGACTTAGTAAATTAACCTGAAATCGGAAAGTGCAGTAAAATTTGCTAGAAGAGCTATGCTACCAATACTGCAGTTCACATGAAGACATGTAGCAAATTAGTTGAAGTCAATTCCTGTCCCTCAGGAAACTAGAGGGAGTAGAGTGTTTCTGACAGGAGTGTAGCAGAAATTTTACCCTTTTTCTGTTTCTCATCTTAACTGATTACAGACAAGTAAAAATTATCAGACAACTTACAGTGTTCCACTTTCTGGTTAAATCACATTTAGATAAGCTCTTTGAATAAGAGCTTCAAAGTAAATTTTATTTTAATTTTAAACTCACTTCATACCCAGTGAGTATCTTTCAAAAAAATAAACCCAATAAAAGTCTATAAACTGAAAGTAGTGTTAAGTAAATAGAAAGCCATACTCACAATAGCCTTGAGCAGAAGCCCATGCCAAGAAAGAGATGACATTAGTATAAAGCAAAACAGCAGCCAACAGAAGAAACTATTTAGGAAGTCATGAACAGAAAAAGTTAAAGCTATGCATTTTTTCACACGTGCATTTTTCTCCTCTGTTCTCATTAGCAGTTTCATCCTGTAACATTTTCTAGATCATATGACTAAAACCAAAAATATAAAAATAGTAAAGAAGCACATTTGTAAATCACTGTGTTTAAAGAAGAAATTCAAAGGAGAGCAACTGCTATTTTGGAAAGTAATTTTAAAACAAAAATGATACAAGTAACAAAACAGGAGAAAATATGCAGTCTATTGGGCTACAATCAAAATCAAGAGATGCATGTGTTTTTGTGGAGAGATTCTGAATTGTGTTATTGCCACACTGATTGAACACAAGACAAATGTAGAATATTTAAATTAGAAACGGCCTTTTTGGTTTGTATTTATCCAGTACCAATCACACAGGTGGTCTAGAATGCAACTGATGGTCCAGAATGCCAGCAAAATACAAGAGAAAATCATCAACAAAACTACTTCACTGCTTTTTCTCCAATGGTCTTTCAACCAAGGTTTAGACACCTGGCCAACACAGACAATTATCGTATGCACCCAAAAGAGCTTTTAGCTTTGTTATAATGTAAATACTTCAAAATACTGTCTTTGTTCACACTCCTGGCTCATGCTTTTTCATTATTTCAAAGTTGGATTTCCTTATCGCACTGTAAGAAAGGGGGAGAGCACATAAAAACAAGCCAGCATGACTCTAATGACATCAGAGTCAGAAATTTGTAGCAGCTAAGGATCTGCAGGTTTTGACCATTTGGCTTTTTTCAGTCCTCTGAACAACTGCAGCAACACCACCTTTTCTGTAACCACAAAGGTTTGTTCACATCTTTCTTGGTCACAACGCATTTGAACTGGTACACCATTACTTATCTCTGATCATTTAGGGGACTATTGGTTGGTTTGGACAGGAAAGGGAAAAGTTGGAAGCAGTGCTCATTTTCCTAAAGTAAGAAAATAAACAATGAACCCAACTTTTCTTTTAGGATCTTTGTATTGCATTTGAGTTTAGTTTGGAAGAGGCACAACTACTCGTCAATACTGATTCCACTGGTATATTTTCATATATATTATTTGCATAGTACCAGCATTGTTGTGGGAGTAACCCTTCTCCCATCTAGACAGATCATATGTTCTCACAAGCAAGAAACTAACAATTATAAACAGCACACACAATTAAAAGAAGCAGGACTGAGTTTACCCAGAGTAATTTACCGAAGACACAAGATTAGCAAAAAGAATAAAAGGTAAAACGTAAGATTTTAGCCACCCAAAAATCCTGTCGATACTTGTAGTAAGGCAGATAAATTCAAATAAATTACTCTAAAAATGGGCAAACATTACTTTTTTTTTTTTGAAGTCTCAGTCAGCTTCAAAGCCACATATTCAAACCCTCTGCTCCTACCATAATTACTATGATTGCTGTTCTCTCATAGGAAGACCAGTCTCTAAAAAAAAAAATTCTAATTTAAAAAAAAGCTTTGTCCAATTTTGAGCTAGATTTATACTTAACTTCATTCAAATGTTTTAGCTGTTCATAACAGAAGAACATTTCTATAACAAAACTCTAAAAATCAGCAAATGTACACTCACTATTTTGCTTATTTGTCCCACTGCTAATGAGTTTGCTTAGAAAACACCAGAAAAAAATACTTATTATTGTGTGGTTTTAGAAAACAGATATCCTCCCCAGTATTTAATGGCTATCTTTCCTTCACATCAAAACAACTACAGAAATAAAGTCTTTTTGCTGGAAATTTTTTTCATGCTTAAACAAGCCATAGGAACAGGTCTGCCCCCTTTCTGAGGACAAATTTTAGTTTTGTTCTCCATGTTAAGGTCATAGGCAGATGGCTAGGCTTCGGCTTGAGGTTAAGCTAACTTAGCGGGATGAGGGCAACTATACCATATGACTTAAGAAAATTGCTTGATGAGACTCATAATGTTTTAAGAAGGTAACAGAAGTTATAAACAGCACCATGAGGGATATTCAGATTTCACAGACGCTAAGAGTAGCCATAGAATCACAGAATAGTTTGGGTTGGAAGGGACCTTTAAAGGTCATCTAGTCCAACCCCTCTGCAATAAGCAGGAGCATCTTCAGCTAGATCAGGTTGCTCAGAGCCCCGTCCAACCTGACCTTGAAGGTTTCCGGGGATGGCGCATCCACAACCTCTCTGGGCAACCTGTTCCAGTGTTTCACCAAATGAGCAAAGTGGCTAAACTTCACAGGTAACTGAACAGGTAACAGTTCTGGGGACCTTTTAGGGAGGTGCCAAGTCAGAAGGACTTAGTAACTGTATCAGTAACAGCATATAAGGCCAAGACTGCATATGTAATTGTATGAGAAACACCAGATGTGGTATGGATTTAGCAAAACTAGGTCCAGTGGGGTAGAAGTAACTAAAGGCAGGTTGGTTACATAGGAAGGGATTAGGGCAGAGAAAGGGAGAACAAGGATGACAAAAGAGAGTGGTAATAAGGCATGCAAATGATGTAGTCGAAGCTCTTCGGTGTACCTGTTGAGCAGCCCTACACATGACCTCCGCATTCTGGAGGACAATAAATCAAACCTGCTATTCTGATCACACCAGGCACGTCCAAGTTGATTCTGTAGTCTGGAAGACTGGGGTAAGGAGGCCTTTCCCTGGGTAGCAAGGCAACAGCCAGGATGGACTAATCATGCATCCCAACAGGATGTGTCAGTGCCCATTACAGGCCTAATGGCACTGGTATCTTCCTAACATCCACCTTCCACTGCACTGCAATAGGAAATCAAAACTGCTTCCCTGTGTGGACCTCGGCAAGCAGTGTGTATCATTGCAATGATACTTGCCTGGGTTAGGATAGTGCTTTTACTACTTTTTGGGAAAGCCTGAAAATTACTTCAACTTTGAAAACAAACAAAACTTTAGGAAAAAAAAAAAGCTGAAGCCCTCATCATACATTTCTGGACTAAATACAAACGGGATCTTCAGTTTCCTGGGTTGAGCATATTTACAGTATAAGAATATAAAAATACAGATTTCAGCTCATTGTTGCAGAAAAGTAATGAAAAACAGAGGAAACATGCGAAAATAATGCATCAGCGAACTGTATGCCATGTCTCTCCTTATCCTTTTTCTCAAGCTTCTAAAGAATCACTCTTTTTGTAAGGATATCTTAAGGATAACTCAGGTGGTCCCAGCACAACTTCCACCTACTTCAGCAGCTGGGTTTAACTTTGACGTTTGCTCTGCTCTGTGTGGGTGATTGTGTGAGGTGTCCAAACTTCTAGAGGTTCTTGCAGTCTCGTTACTTCTCTGAGTCTACACTCTCTCTTTTGCTTCTTTAAGAATAAATGAAATCCTACACACCGAATTCAGCAAAACAGGCCATGGGATTAGTGCCTATAAATCACCACTGGCATGGTCAGACCTACATAGAAGCCAGGAACGCAGCAACTGCATCACAAACTTGCCAGCTCTGATTTGACAAGGGCTGCCTGGTACACACAGCAGGTTGTACCATGGTGTTGTGATGGTGGTGTTTTGCTATTTACAGAATCATCTCAGATGATGCCTACATAGGCTGCAACCAGTCTTGTAAGTCAGCTGCAGACATGTCCTAAATTACTGTCCAAACCAGAGTCTCAAAAAGGGACACAATTAAAATTGCAGTACATAAAGCTGAAATCTGTTAGACAGGGATCATTTACAATACTCAATATCTGAGAGTAATTTTTTGAGATTGTTGTTCACCCTGAAAAATCTGATTTTGGTCAATAACCAAAACAACAAAGAATATCTCAGAATCACATAACAGTATGGACTTGTTTTAAAATGCATTCTAAAACACATTCTAAGTTACTTAGGAAAATAATCTTATTTGAACTCAACTATGTGTTATACTTTCATACAGTTTATTCTGAAAATTAAAAGGATAAGCTAATCAGACACACTCTTAAATGAAAATAAGCAGCTAGTAAAAACTTCCACTGTTTTATATAAATTAGTTAAAACCACAAAAACAGAAAGCAACACATTACAATTTGTTGCCAGTTAGCAACACAATACACTGAGGGTGTGAGCATACACTGTGCATGTACAGTCCAGCAAATCACTGCTTTCAAGAAAGTTCTAGAGCTTCTTCTCTCAAATACAGGAGATGGCAAA